GAGAGAGAGAGAGAGAGAGAGAGAGAGAGAGAGAGAGAGAGAGAGAGAGAGAGCACGCACAGACCCCTGGTCTTTTGGCTCCTCTTTTTATATGTTTTTTCCTCCCCCTGGGCCTACCCTATGTAAACTGGGCTAGCCAGGAGTGCTATTTGTTCTACCTGAGGTCCTCACTCCAGTCCTTGGACCTTCCTTTGTTCTATTTTCACGGGCTTTTCCCTTCCTTGTCTTTTAGCCACCGCCATTCTGGACTCCTTTTTCCTATTCTGACTACCTAACAGTAGGATTATGAGTGGTTTTTAAAATATATCTTCTTTTGACATTGTTTATATTCATTATCTACATTGAAAAGTACTTTTATTTTAGAAATTAAAACTCTAATTTTAAATAACTTGGCTGAAGCACAAAGTGAAAACTGTCTTTGTTCTCGTTAGCATGGTTCAATTGATACTAAATTTACATGATTGAATTTACTACAGGCCAGGTCCTAGAATTAACTAATTTGTTACAATGTTAGAAACTGAAAAAAATCATATGACATATGCTAAATATTTAATCTTACAGAGCATTATTTTTTTGAGGGAAACAGTTTATGCCTTGTATATTATCTTGCATGTCTTATCCTGTTTGAACAATCTGTGCAGAGATTTGAGTGATTACCTCAGAAGTCTTCCCTCCTCTCTTGCTTCTTAGGTCTCTTCTTGTCCACATAGACCTCCTGTGGAGAGAGGTGAGGGATAACTGGGGTTAAAGGCTATGGTGTACTAAATCTTTGTGCCCCTGTTTCTCATGTTGAAATTCTAACCCCCATTGTGATGATTTAGGAGGTGGGGTCTTTGGGAGGTAACTGGGTCTAGATTAGGTCATGAAGGTGGGGCCCTCATGAGCCAATTGATGCCCTTAAAGGAAGAGACAGCAGAGTTCAACTTTGCCATGTTATGATACAGCAAGAAGGAGGTCATCTGCAAACCAGGAAGAAGGTTTTCACCAGACACTGTATCTGCTGGTACCTTGATCGTGGGCTTCTCAGGCTCCAGAACTGTCAGAAATATGTTTGTTGCTTAAGCCACCACGTCTGTGGTATTTTGTCAGAGCAGCTTGAGCCACTGAGACAAGAGGCCCATCTCTGGGGGAGTGTTGCATGGCTGATATTCTTCCAAGTTTCCACAAAAGACAGACAAACTTCCATACACTGTCTCCTCGCACCATCTCTTTCTCTTATTTTCTCTTTTCACTCTGAATAATGGTTATCTTCCCACAGGGAGATAATTCCCATTCACACGTAGGAAGCATTTCAACCTCTGTTGGTGAGAATATTCCTTGAAGAGAGAGTTTCTCTTTGTTCTTTATGAATGACTTGGGTTAGCAAAGCTATTTCAGGGTTCAAATCAAGCCTCTAGAAGCCTGTCCGGCCTAGCTTCAAGCTTTAAGGAAGAGGGATTTTGCTACAGAGAGAGGAACTTGCCTTCCAAAAGGGAACTGGAAGGAGGAAGAGTTTGCCAGGCAGAGTCATTGATGGAAAATTGAAAAGAGCTGGAGGTTACAAAAGGATGAATGAAAACTTCTGATGTATTTATTGTAAAATGTGCAATATAGACCCTCTCTTTTGAACCCTGGGTGACACTATTAAGAAATCTTTGATTTGATTTATAGGCTTGAAGCCTCTTCGTTCTTTGGAAAAGGAGGCTTAAACAAGAGCTGAGACTGGGGTTCCATGGGTAAAGGAGCAAGAGGTCAGCAGGAGTGCTGACACCTAGGTCACTTACAATAAGTTCTGGTGAATAAATGAAAGATAAGAACCAAGACACACATGAATTATTTCAATAAAACTGTAAGAAATTACATAGAGATGTAGGTAAAATGTGAAGATGACTGGTTTATTATAGAATGGATATAGAATTTACAGCCAAAAATCTATGGATTTGAGAGCTCTGTATGTTGTTTGCTTGTGGTATATCCTTGACAAGTAACTTCAACTTTCCAAGTTCCTGTTTTCTTATCTGTAAAATAGGGGCAACAATTTGTATAACTTCTCTGAAGAGTTTTTGGTAAGAATTTTTAATAAATGGTATGAAAGTGCACTATAAAAATCTGAAACTATTAGGTAGGAAGTTAGGCATAAGCAACAAGAGGTGACCTGGCCAAAAAAAGATTCAAGCTGGTCTTTAAAATCCATCCCAGACACACCCTAGTGCAGCCCAAGAGAGCTCACAGATATGCTACAAATTAATCACAGAAACTTCTTCAACTCTAGCACATGTGCCCTTAATACACAGCTGTGTCCTCAAGTGACTTTAGGCAGTCGGGAGCTCCTTAAGTGTCATAAATATTCTATACATACATATGAATATTAAAGACTGAATTACGGGAAAGACATACATACCAAGAGCCTATTGGTATGTAACTTGCAACTGTCAATCAAAACTGTCAGTCCATACCCAGCTAAATGAATATGTAAAAGCCCTGTCTTCAAAACTCCCATACCTCATCATCTGTTGACAGTGCCTCTCTTGGCTTGGCCCACCTCTCCCTTGTGGTGTTCTTTCTGTTCCTTACTTAATAAACTTGTTTTTGCCACAGATAAGACCCCGGATTCTTCTCTGTGGCCTTACCAAGAACCCAGGCTCACAAGGGCGTCGCCAATGCAGTAACAGAACCCGTATATACATGGCCACTCTAGTCTATGATTAGAAAACAAGGTCATATTTATTCCTATTATATGGTAACACTAAATCCCACTAGTCCAACTAATAAAATTAGCTCTAAGCTTCTTCCTAGTTTTTTAAAATTTTCTAGGCTATTGCTCACATGTATCCAGGATTCAGGGCTATCCTTCTGTGGGAAAACTGCTGAAGCTTCCTCAAGCCTTGGTACAGGTAAGACACTGTGTGCTCCTATTTCCCACAGTACAACTGAGAGCAGGCTGTGACTTTCATCATCGAGAATTTGTTGAAGCATCTCGTTAAAAATAGAAGGCTTACTTCTAGGGCAACTTCCAATTGGCATTAGAGTTTGTTAAATTAATTAAACAAAAAGAGTCATTAGGCTGACGTGACTCTAATGCCATGGCAGCTGATGTAAGCAAACCAAAATTTAAGCCTGTAAATGCCTCAAGGTTAAGTAATCAAAATCCAAGGTCAACCAATCGCAAAGAGTTTAGGCTTTAAGCAACTGCCAAATGCACCACCCTTATGGCAGAAAGTAAGAACTAAAGAGCCTCTTGATGAAAGTGAAAGAGAGAGTGAAAAAGTTGGCTTAAAGCTCAACACTCAGAAAACAAAGATTATGGCATCTGGTCTTCACTTCATGGCAAATAGATGGGGAAAGAGTGGAAACAGTGGCTGACTATTTTTTCTGGGCTCCAAAATCACTGCAGATAGTGATTGCAGCCATGAAATTAAAAGACGCTTACTCCTTGGAAGGAAAGTTATGACCAAGCTAGACAGCATATTGAAAAGCAGAGACATTACTTTGCCAACAAAGGCTCATCTAGTCAAGGCTATGGTTTTTCCAGTAGTCATGTATGGATGTGAGAGTTGGACTATAAAGAAAGCTGAGCACTGATGAATTGATGGTTTTGAACTGTGGTGTTGGAGAAGACTCTTGAGAGTCCCTTGGACTGCAAGGATATCCAACCAGTCCATCCTAAAGGTGATCAGTCCTGGGTGTTCATTGGAAGGACTGATGTTGAAGCTGAAACTCCAATACTTTGGCCACCGCATGTGAAGAGTTGACTTATTGGAAAAGACCCTAATGCTGGGAAGGATTGGGGGCAGGAGGAGAAGGGGACGAAGTTTTTTAAACTTCATTTTATATTGATTATAATTGATTAGCAATGTTGTGACAGTTTCAGGGAAACCCCAATTTCCTAGTTGATTAGCAATGTTGTGATGGTCTCAGGTGTACAGCAAAGTGGTTCAGTCATACTTATACATGTATCAATTCTTTTCCAAATTATTTTCCTAGTTAAGATTATTACAGAGTTTTGAAAACTTGTAAAATTTTTAATATGCCTCAGTAAGACTTTTAACAAATCCCTCAGAGGCAAGCCATTCTCTACAAAGGAGAAGCCGGTTCATCTGTCACTGAAGGCATCAGGCATTTTCTAACCTCACAGTCTGGGCCCAACTACCTATTCTCTAAGGAGAAAGCAGATTCTCACCGGCCAAGGCCAAGGCCTTTCTCAATTCCTATCTCACACTTAAATCCTTCCTGTGTTTCTTGACAGTGTAAACATATCCGTTCCTTTTAGCTTGGTACTTTTACCACAAGAAAGAGTCCAGTCCTGTGAACCACTGAAGACTGTCAAAGTATTTGATGATACATTTATCTAAGCTTGACTTGTTGTGTACACACACGCACACACACAGAGGTCAGTTCAGTCACTCAGTCGTGTCCGACTCTTTGCGACCCCATGGACTGTAGCACTCCAGGCCTCCCTGTCCATCACCAACACTCAGAGCTTGCTCAGACTCATGTCCATTGAGTCAGAGATGCCATCTAACCATCTCATCCTCTGTCGTCCCCTTCTCCTCCTGCCTTCAATCTTTCCCAGCATCAGGGTCTTTTCCAAGGAGTCAGTTCTTCACATCAAGTGGCCAAAGTATTGGAGTTTCAGCTTCAGCATAGTCCTTCCAATGAAGATTCAGAACTGATTTCCTTTAGGATTGACTGGTTTGATCTCCTTGCAGTCCAAGGGACTCACACACACACACACACACACACACACACACACAACTAATGCAGTATAAGTAGTCCATTCCACACTATGTGCTATGCCATCAAAATTCCACCTTTCTAGCTTACAATCTTTGGTCCAGTCAGCTGGGTTGGAGGGAAAATCATCCTGATAGTCTGTAAGAAAAATACATGGCTAAGATTATCTCCCAGGGAGAAAATGATTATTTCAGCATATGGCCTGTCCTTGCACTGATTTAACACATTTTTCTTGGTCTGAAACATCTGCTTTGGGCTATTTCATTGTACTAAGATTCCCCAGGAACAATGAGGAAGCAATAACTTCTAATAAAATGCCCTACCAAAGGAATCCTCCACAGAAAAAAAGAACATTTGCCTGAAAGACAAAGCACTGTCTCTATCCAAGGAGGCAGGGTCTATCTGTAATTTTCCCCAAAGGCAGTTTTTCCAGTTACAGAAAAATATTTAGGTGTCATTCTCTACTCAATTTCTTATATATTACATAACCATTGGCTACTATAATTTTAAAAGATTAAAATGACAGCAAATGCTCTTAATATATAATACAAATATATGATTAAATGTAAAGTATATCTTAGAATTTGAATACTTATGCCTTTTTATAACTTCTAGAATAAACAATAGAATAAATTGTTACACTATCAACAAACATTAAAAAGTCAAACATGTTGGCATTTTGTGTGCATATTTAGTAAACAATGTATAACACAATTTTTCTTTTATTATGAAATTAATGTGCATTATTCTTGAACATGTCTAGATTAAAATATTAGTAGAAAATTTTAGCCCAAAATAATTTTAATGTTTAATGTCCTTATTTACAAATAGTTAGAAATTTCATTTCCAAATATACTGGCCAATAACTTAGTAGGGTTTTCTACTTGTAATAATCTCTTACATCATTCCAAATACAGTATCATCATTATAAATTTCTTCATGCTAAAGACTAAAGCACAACCATTCACTTCATACAATGATACAGGTGTATGTAACAATTAA